GCCGGAGCAGAGCTCGCCGCCTGGAAACCGTGGAGTCCGGCGGGCGAAGGACTGTGGCTGTTACCTCTCCATTTCTTCCCTGCATGTTGAAGATTATTCAATAATGGAAACGCATCCGTTCTGTAAGGGGGGGGGGTTGCTTTTAAAATGCTCCTGTCTCCAAGATCAGTCCTTTAAAGGAGCAGTGAGGCCGCGGCTCCCCGCCGCCCAGAGCTGGCAGGTGGGCTAGCGTCCCTGCCTGGTGGCCTGGTGGGGCGGCGGCCGGAGACCAGGCTGGGGCGCATCCACCCTGGACTTTGCTCCTCCGTTTCTCCTCCCCTCTCCTTTTCCTTTCTTGGGGACTGGGATTTTCTCGGGGTCCCGGGGGTGGGAGTGGGGCTGGGATTTTCTCGGGGTTCCCGGGGGTGGGCGGGGGGCTGGGCTTTGGGGTCCCCGGGGGTGGGAGTGGGGACTGGGATTTTCTCGGGGTTCTGGGGGTGGGAGTGGGAGGGCTGTGCTTTTGCTGGGTGATCCGGGAGTCTGCTCAGAACAGGAGGAAATGAGCCGAGAATTTGCCGGGTTGCCGAGTCAGCTTCTCCAGTCGGAGGAGGGACATGTACAGAGAAAACGGAAAGGAGGGGAGGACCTCTACAGTGACCTGGCCTGGACATTCCCGAGTATGTAGCTGCCAATCTGCTGTGAGGGACAGGACGCCTTGGCACGGGACAGGCGACAGCCGGCGGACAGTTCGGTCTCTGCTCTGTGTGGCCCAGGGCCTCGGAGCAGCAGCAGCTCAGGGCCGTGAGCACAGTCCGCCCCCAGAACTGGCTTCGGAGCACAGTTTTCCATGGCAAGGAATCAGGTTCCTTGAGAAATCCCGGCCTCATAGCTGGGGAGGGGAATCAGGATGGAGCTAAGAGTTTGTGGTCAAACGTCTCGGGTGGGACCGTGGGACCGTGAGGAGGTGCTCACGGCAGACGGGTGAGAGGGCTGGGCAGGAAGGTCAAACGGGAACCTCGACATCGTTGAAGGCGGCTCCAGGGCAGCCCTCAGTAAATAGGAATGCACGCGTGTGTCCACAGGGCAGCGCGGACACGCAGGTGAGTCGTGGATAAATCATAAAGAAATGGGGCTGAGCGAGTCCTGCTCCGCGGTAGAAATCTCAAAGCGGCTACCTACGAATGCTAATTACAAATATACTAATTTACAAGAACAAACGATTACAATGAGCCTCGCTGGGCGGGGACCCGGCAGACACCATGGTCACTAGGTGGTGTCACTAGGGCGGCAAGAATCCACACCAGGTCCATCCTGACCCAGCGCAGTGACGAGAGCACCACGCCGACGTGTCCCTGCCCGCAACCTGCGGGAGTCGTAAAGAGACATTGGCAAACCCACGTCCCAGCAGCGGTCTCCGACTGAGCATGACCTGGAAGACATGATAGCTAAATGCAGGTGACCCTGGGTGGGCCTTGGAGCGTGACAGACGTCACCACGAGGGAAAGATGTGTTTCGGAGGTCTGTGGACTCGGTGGTGATCTCACCTGAAGGCCAATTTCCTCATTTATATAGGAGATTTTCTCATTTTAAGAAAATAGACAGGGAACCAGCAGTTAGCGTAATGGCTATGTCGCTGGACTCCCACGTAGTCGACCGCGGTTCACGTCCCATACCCGGTGGCTTAAAACTCATGCCGGGCGCGTGTGCATGCGTGCCCAAGATCCCGAGAGGAGAATGGAGAAGGGATTGCGGCGTGACCATCCCCCCTGGGGGGTGATTTCTCGCTTTCTGTCTCTGTCTCTCTCTGTCTGTCTGGTGAGCGCACGCACCCTATAGTGAAAAACCTCTCCAAAAAAAAAAAAAAGAAAGAAAAACAAAAAGAAAAGAAAATAGACAAGCATTAAGGAGTTGGGGCTACGATGTGTTCCTTACCCTCCAGTGGTTCGTTTAAAAACGTGGGCACAGAGAGACTAACAGGGTGCGATGCGTCTGGAGGTGTTTAATAACGGGCCTTCCAGAGACAGCTGCAGCACGTGTGATTTCCATGGTGGAGACCCTCCGTGGTGGCTGACTTCGAGCCCTGACGCGACACCGGGACGTGGAGTGGGAAGACAGGGCGTCACTGCGGGTCCGCGGGGGACGCTGGGTCTCCACCATGGCTGTTTCTCCAACAAATTGAATAAGTGCATGTTTGAGCTTATGGGGGTGCGCTCGGCCACCTGGCGGCTGAAACTGACCTGCTGACGTGCGCTCGCTGTCCCTGTAACACGAGACAGCGACACGGCCCCGCAGGCTCTCTCCCTGACCTGACTCATGCGCTCGCTGACCCTGTAACACGAGACAGTGACACGGCCCCGCAGGCTCTCTCCCTGACCTGACTCATGCGCTCGCTGACCCTGTAACACGAGACAGCGACACGGCCCCGCAGGCTCTCCACCTGACCTGACTCTTGGCTGGCGGCCTCGATGTGGCTGTACACACCATGCACGCTTCGAAATGCTGTGTTGTACCCTTACAGTTATGTGTGTTGGCAAAAATAGCATTTATAATATTCATAAAAAGGCGGTTTTATTTTCCAGAATGCTTGGCATTTGCGTGCAGATATTTTGGGGTCCTGAGCACACCCGCGTTGTACATTAGGAACGTGTTTTTTGGTCGCGCCCGTTTCCTCCTCCAAGGTCGTTTCCAGCTTTTAAACAAGGAAGCCCTGTGCCGCTGACACAGAGGTGGCGCTGGTTCGTCTCTCGGTGACCGGTGGGTCCTTCAGGCACTTTAAATAATGAGAAGGGCTAGCCTTCAAGCTGGGGGGACCTCGAAGTTCAGTACCCATTCGTGAACCCCGAAGGCTCCACGGGTGGCCAGCCAGGAGGCAGGAGCCTTCCAGGGAACCACCCGAGTCTCTCCCAGCAAGCGCCCGTGGCCCTGTGGCAAGTGTCCAGAAACAGGGCACAGCCTTTCAGTTTACCGCTGTTCAGGTCACCTGTGCCATCCTCCCCAAGAACTGCGAAAAGCCACTGAGTCCTGTGTGGCCCCTGCCCAGCGCAGACAGCGGGGTGAGCCGGGTTGTGGGGCTGCCAGCTGGGGACCACGGCGGGAAGCCTGAGGACAGCTAACTGACATGGCGGCCAGAGCCGAGAGAACGCCTCGGCCAGATGGGTGGGTGTCAGGCTATCGCTGGCTCCGGGGACCCCCACAGGAGCAGACGAAGACCCACATGGATGATGTGCACCAGCTTCTAAATGTGGGCGTCGGACCCAGCAATCCCACTTCGGGAATCATTTACAGAACCTGCACCGGCACCTGACAACCGAGGAGGGCACACACCACGTTGGTGTAACGCCGAGGCAGAGCCCATGGTGCCCACGTAGCTTCAATCGCCAAATGGCCTGTCCGGTTTGCAAACACCGTCTCACATCCAGGCCTGACCCTGGCGGGGAGGGTGGTTCTGGCTGCAGGAAGCCGCCCCGTCCTGCCCCTGGTGGCCCCTGTTGCTCCCTCCCGGCCGAGGTGAGAGGGACAGACGAGGCAGCCCCCCGCCCCAGGCCCTCCCCTCCTGCTTCCCCAGCTCTGGCAGAACCCCCAAGCTCTGCTCCACCCTGTCTACCGAGGACACCTCCATGGCAGGTGGCGGCTGGGCAGGGGAGCAGCAGTGGCTTGGGGTGGCGAGCTCGCCAGGTGGGCTGACCCCTGGGAACACCGGCGTGCTGGTGGGGGTGGGCAGGCTCGCTCCCAGGGCTGGGTGTCATTGTCCTTCCGGGCGATCATCAAGCCCATTGAACAGGCGCCAAGCCCCTCGCGGTATCCCCGACAGCTCCACTTGACCCTTTCAGGGGCAGCTCGGGAGTGGCCAGTGCTCCGCCCCTCTCCTGGAAGAG